TGGGGGTTCTGCCAGGGGGCAGCACCCAAGACAAGGGTACTGGGGTCTGGGAGAGACATGGGGGGTTAGGGGTGGTGAGACACTGGCCTGAAGGAGGTGCTCTGGAGGCTGGATGCTAATTCCCCAAGATGACCAGCAGGAGTTGCTGTCGGGTGAGTCTGTGTCCTGTGACAAGCAGTCATAAAAGTGAACAGAAAGAAAGGGATAGATAATAAGACAGAAAATATCATATTGCCTCTATATAAATCCATGGTACACCCACATCTTGAATACTGTGTGCAGGTGTGGTCACACCATCTCAAAAGAGATATATTGGAAAAGTTCAGAAAAGGACAACAAAAATGATTAGGGGTATGGAATGGCTGCTGTATGAGGAGAGATTAATAAGACTGGGACTTTTCAGCTTAGAAAAGAGATGATTAAGGGGGGATATGAGATAGAGGTCTATAAAATCATGACAGGTGTGGAGAAAGTAAATAAGGAAGTGTTATTTACCCCTTCTCATAACACAAGAACTAGGGAACACCAAATGAAATTAACAGGCAGCAGGCTTAAAACAAACAAAAGGAAGTATTTTTTTCATGCAAAGCACAGTTAAACTGTGGAACTCCCTGCCAGATGATGTTGTGAAGGCCAAGACTACAGTAGGGTTCAAAAAAGAACTAGATAAATTCATGGAGAATAGGTCTATCAATGGCTATCAGACAGGATGGACAGGGATGGTGTCCTAGGTGTTGACTTCTGCTTGCGCCAGTGGGTGCTGGACCCCCTCTACCCCTAGCTCTGCCTTGACTCCACCCCTGTCCTGCCACCTCCCCAAAGTCCTGCCCCAGCTCTGCCCCTATTACAACTCCTTCCCCAAATCCCTGCTGTGGCCCCCGCCTCCTCCCCTGAGTGTGCCACATTCTGGCTCCTCCCCCTCCCTCCAACAGCTGTTTGGCAGTGGCAAGCGCTGGGAGGTAGGCAGAGTGGGGACACGGCGCACTCAGGGGAGTCGGTGCCTATGGATGGTGTCTCTAGCCTCTGTTTGCCAGAAGCTGGGAATGGGCGACAGAGAAGGGATCGCTTGATGATTACCTGTTCTGTTCATTCCCTCTGGGGCACCTGGCATTGACCACTGTCGGAAGTCAGGATACTGGGCCAGATGGATCTTGGTCTGACCCAGTATGGCCGTTCTTATTTAGTAAGTTACACTCTTTGGATTGAATTAGTGCTGAACCAGTGTTCTAGCCTGACACCAGAGCACACTGTGGTGCTAACTGTGCCATCTTTCGGATGAGAGACAAAACAGTCGACCTGTGATCAGTAAAGATCTCATGATGTCTAGAATATAGTGACTTCAATGGAAGTACTCTGATTTACACCAGCTGAGGCTCTGGCCCATAATGACTTAATACATGAACATACACCGATCAGAGAACACTCCAAAGGGGGTCAATAGGCATCATAGGAAAACCAATATTTCAACATCTGGGACTACTTCATTCTGTAATCTGTTTCTCTAAACCAGTTCCAACATGATAAATATATTTAAAATATGGCTAGTTGATGTACCTATTTTTCAGAAGCCAAGTATAATCATTGGCTAAAAATTTGAAATAGCTTTTTAAAAATTAAATTTAAACTTGTTACAAGACACTTCCTGGGTGCTATAACTGTTTCTTATTGACTTTAGCTATATCTTCTACAATCTATCATTCAACAAACATTTGTTAGGGCAGCTCTGCTTCCAGCTCCTCAACTTCTATAGGAGAAAACTAAACGTTTTAAGCCAAGGGTGTAAGAAGAGGTTACAGGGTCAACTTAATCTTGCAAATAATCTTTGCAATGTATAAGGAGATTGTCGAGCACCCTTATCTCTTGAGCTTAGAACAGTTATTTTAGTTAAAAGGCAGGATTACAGTTATCAGACCAGTATTTTTAGTTTTAGGAGATGGACTATTGATCATTACAGGCAGAAAGCTGACCTGGGTAAGCAGCACATAAAAGAAGATTTCCAGCCCAACCCATAATAAATTAAAGTGTCTTATTTTAGTTCAGAGGTTTTCTTGATTTCAAATGCACATTATCTGTTAGAAAGGAATAATATAAAAGTTATATGTAACCTACCAAAATGTCTATGGTTTAAATGGGATATATATCATTTACTCTACAGGTCCTATCAATGACCATGTTCATTGTGGTTTGCATGTTACAATATTAGAAAACATGTTGTTTGAAATAAATTATTTTAATCTGGGAAAGAGAAGTTTAAAAAAAGAACACAGAATCAATATTACAGTAATAAAGAGCTAATAGTGTTTGCACATTAGGGCAATCTGAAATAATTTTATAGGGATAAGTCCCACAGATTCATTAAATATGCATAATTCTGTTTGTATAGAAATCACTGTTCATTTTGAATGTACATAGGGTTTTGTTGTTGTTTGGTTTGTTTTATAGTTATCTATCTGGGAATTTTGGAGAGGTTTTTGTCAATTCAAGTTACTAAACTATTTTACCTTTAGCTTTTTCCTAGCATGTTAACTTATGTGTAATTAAAAATTATATAATAAAACATTCAAATCGTCATTTGGTTCCCAATCCAGTAGCAGTTTTCCCTAAGTGGTCAAACTTTTTAATAGATTTTTTTTTTTTATTATTTTCAAAATCAAGAAAAGGGGCCTGATTCTCCACTGCATCACTGGAGTTACACTGGCATAAAACTGCAGTAATACAGTGGTGAATCAGGCCCAAGAATTATTTGGAAGCAAACTGTGTTCTTAACCAAAATGACATGTGTTTAACTAACCACCTCTCACCTATCCAGTCTTTAGAAAGATCACCTTTCATATTTCCATTCTCTTATCACTGTACCTGGTGTACAGAAACAAAGGTGCTGGAAGATTTCACAAAGGAGAATTACAGATTCATAAAAGCAATAGAAAACAGAGTAACAATCTTACCAACCATTATTGATTTTTTGACTCAATTAGTAGTTCTGCTCTTTTGCAATTCAGAATTGAGGGCCAAAATGGACTAAGGTTAGCAGGTCTGGCCTGAAAGACTAAAAGGTATCATTGACCAGATCTACTACTGAATCCTCCAAGTGAGGATACCTTTACGTAACTCCAATAGCATCTTTTTGCAGCTGTTCTGTACTGGGTAACACTACCATTAGTACTGAATTGAGCAAATCTGGTACCTTCATACAGTGAATAATTTGTATTATTTGACTATTGTATTTGGCTGTTATTCCTTTGTTTCCTGTACTGCACCTTAAAATTGCTAAGAACTCTGCTGTTTCCAGGTAGCCCTTATGCATTCAGTTCAGTGTAGACTGCCACAGAAGCAAGATACACACACTGTGCTCTTTCATGGAAACCTTACTTGCTTTGTTGTTCTAAACTAAAATAAAGGTAATTCTGACTGAAAATATCTGTTTGCTCATAATAGGAATAACAATAGTAGAAACAATTGGAGAAGGTGCAAATTAAGAAAAAATGTAATAGGAGAAAAAGTTAAATACTGAATTTTTCAACCCAACCTGTTTAACTCAGTTCACAGCTCATACGAATACAGTAGTTCTTTGTTGGTTGGTTTTATCACAAGAACATTGCATAGATGGGATTTAAAGTGAAAAACAGAATGATTTGACTGCATTTGCATATTTACACCGATTTCAAAATCTCTCCATTGACTAGACAATGTAGCTTTTTTTTAAGTGCTCAGTGGTACTGGTCCAACATTTCTTAAATACTTTTTAAAGTTTTTGTCCTTTTTCTTTCATCTGGAATTTTCTTTTAAGGAACATTTCATTCCTGGTTATACTGTAATATCTGTAGAAGGCAATATGCTTATAATATACCAGGATTTGTTGGGGTGGCTGAAAGGAGCTCTTATCTGCTATGCTCTGTGTTCCTCTGCTGGAAATACTGTACATAGCTCACATATCTTTGTCTTAGCTTGTAGTATTTAATGAATGTTTAGATGAGTAATTCTGTTTAACAGATAACTTATTGTTCCCTTTTTATTTTATTCACCGTTATTTGCAAATAGCCTCTCATGCAATGTATCAAAAAGCTATCTAAGCCATTTACAATTTGGAAATGCATGACAGCTAAGGAATAAGCGCTCACATGGTGTCTATAGAGAAATTAAGTTCTTATTCCTAAATGGGTATGCTGGGGACATGTGAAATGAGTTTTGTTAAACTGCATTCTCAAATACCTGTACCTAACTTAGGGCCCAATCATGCAATCCTTATTCATGTGAATGACCCTTATGTGAGCAGTGCCTTTGAAGTCGACACAATTAGTCCATGGAGCTTTTTGCAAGGATAAAGATTACTCACATGAGTATAGGTTGCAGTATGAGACCCACTGAGTTCTTCTATATCAATGAAGTGCTAGTTTTTAATGAGGTGTTACCTACTCAGAATGCATGATGACTTTTATCCAGCATATTATATTCTAATGAAGGGCCTGAACCTGAAAACCTTGCCCACAATGTCACAACTGTTACCCTAACTCATCTGACAAAATCACAATCATTTAATTAAGAACAGAGTTGTGGTTCCCCAGGGGAAAAAAATTTATACAAAGAAATCTTATTCTGTATTGAGTGACTTCGTGATCCAGGGAATTCAAACACTTTTCCTATAAATGTATATGGACTTATGTGAAATGTCATTGTCTTGAGCATAATTTACAAAGTTAAAGCCCAAACCTGCATCTCCTCCTCATTTAACTTATCCTTACTCTTGTGTGCAATTCCATTGTCTTCAAGACAACTACTCACCTGAGAGGGTTGTAGGAGAAGGTCCTTAGCTGATAAACTACTACTATCAGCCCTGGTCTACACTAGGACTTTAGGTCGAATTTAGCAGCGTTAAATCGATGTAAACCTGCACCCGTCCACACAATGAAGCCCTTTATTTCGACTTAAAGGGCTCTTAAAATCGATTTCCTTACTCCACCCCTGACAAGTGGATTAGCGCTTAAATCGACATTGCCGGCTCGAATTTGGGGTACTGTGGACACAATTCGATGGTATTGGCCTCTGGGAGCTATCCCAGAGTGCTCCATTATGACCGCTCTGGACAGCACTCTCAACTCAGATGCACTGGCCAGGTAGACAGGAAAAGAACCGCGAACTTTTGAATCTCATTTCCTGTTTGGCCAGCGTGGCAAGCTGCAGGTGACCATGCAGAGCTCATCAGCACAGGTGACCATGATGGAGTCCCAGAATCGCAAAAGAGCTCCAGCATGGACCGAACGGGAGGTACGGGATCTGATCGCTGTTTGGGGAGAGGAATCCATGCTATCAGAACTCCGTTCCAGTTTTCGAAATGCCAAAACCTTTGTCAAAATCTCCCAGGGCATGAAGGACAGAGGCCATAACAGGGACCCGAAGCAGTGCCGCGTGAAACTGAAGGAGCTGAGGCAAGCCTACCAGAAAACCAGAGAGGCGAACAGCCGCTCTGGGTCAGAGCCCCAAACATGCCGCTTCTATGATGAGCAGCATGCCATTTTAGGGTGTTCAGCCACCACTACCCCAGCCGTGTTGTTTGACTCCTTCAATGGAGATGGAGGCAATACGGAAGCAGGTTTTGGGGACGAAGAAGATGATAGCTCACAGCAAGCAAGCGGAGAAACCGGTTTTCCCGACAGCCAGGAACTGTTTCTCACCCTGGACCTGGAGCCAGTACCCCCCGAACCCACCCAAGGCCGCCTCCTGGACCCAGCAGGCGGAGAAGGGACCTCTGGTGAGTGTACCTTTTAAAATACTATACATGGTTTAAAAGCAAGCATGTGAAAGGATTACTTTGCCCTGGCATTTGCGGTTCTCCTAGATGTAGTCCTAAAGCCTTTGCAAAAGGTTTCTGGGGAGGGCAGCCTTATTGCGTCCTTCATGGTAGGACACTTTACCACTCCAGGCCAGTAACACGTACTCGGGAAACATTGTAGAACACAGCATTGCAGTGTATGTTTGCTGGCATTCAAACAACATCCGTTCTTTATCTCTCTGTGTTATCCTCAGGAGAGTGAGATATAATTCATGGTCACCTGGTTGAAATAGAGTGCTTTTCTTCAGGGGACACTCAGAGGAGCCCATTCCTGCTGGGCTGTTTGCCTGTGGCTAAACAGAAATGTTCCCCGCTGTTAGCCACAGGGAAGGGGGAAGGTTGAGGGGGTAGTCACACGGTGGGAGGAGGCAAAATGCGACCTTGTAACGAAAGCACATGTGCTATGTATGTAATGTTAACAGCAAGGTTTACCCTGAAAGACTGTAGCCACTGTTTTATAAAATGTGTCTTTTTAAATACCGCTGTCCCTTTTTTTTTCTCCACCAGCTGCATGTGTTTCAATGATCACAGGATCTTCTCCTTCCCAGAGGCTAGTGAAGCTTAGAAAGAAAAAAAAAAACGCACTCGCGATGAAATGTTCTCTGAGCTCATGCTGTCCTCCCACACTGACAGAGCACAGACGAATGCGTGGAGGCAAATAATGTCAGAGTGCAGGAAAGCACAAAATGACCGGGAGGAGAGGTGGCGGGCTGAAGAGAGTAAGTGGCGGGCTGAAGACAGGGCTGAAGCTCAAATGTGGCGGCAGTGTGATGAGAGGAGGCAGGATTCAATGCTGAGGCTGCTGCAGGACCAAACCAGTATGCTCCAGTGTATGGTTGAGCTGCTGCAAAGGCAGCTGGAGCACAGACTGCCACTGCTGCCCCTCTGTAACCAACCGCCTTCCTCCCCAAGTTCCATAGCCTCCACATCCAGATGCCCAAGAACGCGGTGGGGGGGCCTCCGGCCAACCAGCCACTCCACCACAGAGGATTGCCCAAAAAAAAGAAGGCTGTCATTCAATAAATTTTAAAGTTGTAAACTTTTAAAGTGCTGTGCTTAAAGTGCTGTGTGGCATTTTCCTTCCCTCCTCCACCACCCCTCCTGGGATACCTTGGTAGTCATCCCCCTATTTGTGTGATGAATGAATAAAGAATGCATGAATGTGAAGCAACAATGACTTTATTGCCTCTGCAAGCGGTGACTGAAGGGAGGAGGGGCGGGTGGTTAGCTTACAGGGAAGTAGAGTGAACCAAGGGGCGGGGGGTTTCATCAAGGAGAAACAAACAGAACTTTCACACCGTAGCCTGGCCAGTCATGAAACTGGTTTTCAAAGCTTCTCTGATGCGTACCGCGCCCTCCTGTGCTCTTCTAACCGCCCTGGTGTCTGGCTGCGCGTAACCAGCAGCCAGGCGATTTGCCTCAACCTCCCACCCCGCCATAAACATCTCCCCCTTACTCTCACAGATATTGTGGAGCACACAGCAAGCAGTAATAACAGTGGGAATATTGGTTTCGCTGAGGTCTAAGCGAGTCAGTAAACTGCGCCAGCGCGCCTTTAAACGTCCAAATGCACATTCTACCACCATTCTGCACTTGCTCAGCCTGTAGTTGAACAGCTCCTGACTACTGTCCAGGCTGCCTGTGTACGGCTTCATGAGCCATGGCATTAAGGGGTAGGCTGGGTCTCCAAGGATACATATAGGCATTTCAACATCCCCAACAGTTATTTTCTGGTCTGGGAATAAAGTCCCTTCCTGCAGCTTTTGAAACAGACCAGAGTTCCTGAAGATGCGAGCATCAAGCACCTTTCCCGGCCATCCCACGTTAATGTTGGTGAAACGTCCCTTGTGATCCACCAGAGCTTGCAGCACTATCGAAAAGTACCCCTTGCGGTTTATGTACTCGGCGGCTTGGTGCTCCGGTGCCAAGATAGGGATATGGGTTCCGTCTATAGCCCCACCACAGTTAGGGAATCCCATTGCAGCAAAGCCATCCACTATGACCTGCACATTTCCCAGGGTCACTACCCTTGATATCAGCAGATCCTTGATTGCGTGGGCTACTTGCATCACAGCAGCCCCCACAGTAGATTTGCCCACTCCAAATTGATTCCCAGCTGACCGGTAGCTGTCTGGCATTGCAAGCTTCCACAGGGCTATCGCCACTCGCTTCTCAACTGTGAGGGCTGCTCTCATCTTGGTATTCATGCACCTCAGGGCAGGGGAAAGCAAGTCACAAAGTTCTATGAAAGTGCCCTTACGCATGCGAAAGTTTCGCAGCCACTGGGAATCGTCCCAGACCTGCAACACTATGCGGTCCCACCAGTCTGTGCTTGTTTCCCGAGCCCAGAATCGGCGTTCCACAGCATGAACCTGCCCCATTAGCACCATGATGCATGCATTGGCAGGGCCCATGCTTTCAGAGAAATCTGTGTCCATGTCCTGATCACTCACGTGACCGCGCTGACGTCGCCTCCTCGCCCGGTATCGCTTTGCCAGGTTCTGGTGCTGCATATACTGCTGGATAATGCGTGTGGTGTTTAATGTGCTCCTAATTGCCAAAGTGAGCTGAGCGGCCTCCATGCTTGCCTTGGTATGGCGTCCGCACAGAAAAAAGGCGCGGAACGATTGTCTGCCGTTGCTCTGACGGAGGGAGGGGCGACTGATGACACGGCTTACAGGGTTGGCTTCAGGGAGCTAAAATGAACAAAGGGGGTGCCTGTACATCAAGGAGTATTTCAGGCAGGACTTCATGGAGGGTTCCAATAAGAAATGGTGCACCTAAGTTACCGTTCTTATTGCAACAAGGAGGTTAGCCTGGCCTCTGATTGATACATGGCTAGATTTACCTTGCTGCACCTTCTCTGTGAGTGACTGCAGTGTGACCTAGAGGAATGAGTCCCCTAGACAGGGGAGGAGGCAAATGAGTACAAAACAAATCTGGTCTATTTCTTGTTTTGACCCACTCCATCTATCTTTTACATCTTTGGCTGGCAGCAGACGGTGCAGAAGGACTGCATGCCATCCACATCTCATGGCTGCTCGACAGAAGATGGTACAGTACGACTGCTAGCCATCCTCATCTCTTGCCTGCCTGGCAGAAGATGGTACAATACGACTACTAGCAATCCTCATCTCTTGCCTGCCTGGCAGAAGATGGTACAGTACGACTGCTAGCAGTCCGTATCGCCTGCCTGCTCACCATAAGACGGTTCAATAGGACTGACTGCAGGACTAAAGAGAATGACCTGGTCAAGTCACTCCAAATTTAGTCCCTGCGCCCATGTCTGCCCAGGCGCTCCCAGCCGACGTGGCCAGGAGCACCTCAGACACGACGAGGACGACTACCAGTCGTATTGCACCGTCTGCTGCCAGAAGGCAATGGGTTGCTGCTACTGTGCAGCAAAGCCGTACCACGTCTGCCAGCACCCAGGAGACATAGGGTGACGGTTACCTGAGCGGGCTCCATGCTTGCTGTGGTATGGCGTCTGCACAGGTAACTCAGGAAAAAAGGCGCGAAATGATTGTCTGCCCTTGCTTTCACGGAGGGAGGGAGGGAACGGGGGCCTGATGATATGTACCCAGAACCACCCGCGACAATGTTTTAGCCCCATCAGGCATTGGGATCTCAACCCAGAATTCCAATGGGCAGCGGAGACTGCGGGAACTGTGGGATAGCTACCCACAGTGCAACGCTCCGGAAGTCGACTCTAGCCTCGGTACTGTGGAAGCGCTCCGCCGAGTTAATGCACTTAATGCACTTAGAGCATTTTCTGTGGGGACACACACACTCGAATATATAAAACCGATTTCTAAAAAAACGACTTCTATAAATTCGACCTTATTCCGTAGTGTAGACATACCCTCAGTTGGCTATTCCCTTACCCACATTACCCTAACTCGTTGGCCCATTATAAAGTATTTTCACTAAAGACAGCAGTAGCAACTTGTAAACCAGCCAGTACAGCAAATCAAAGGCCAACTACTACAAATTAAAATAATCTTTTGGCAATAATTTATCAAAACTCTGGCTTATTTCAGCTGACCATCTTTCCTTTATATCAGAGCATGCTCCTGTTTGCTTTAATCAATTTTGTAGTGAGGGCTTTAAAATTCACTCATTCTACTATTTTTTCCTGTCTAGTGAAAAGTAAACACAGATGCCTTCAAAAAGATGAGTGCTGATAAATTGCAGTTTCGATTTTTGGAGAATCTGAACATAAGCAGAGGCATCCTTTTCTGAAAATGCTCACAGATTTACAGCTTTAAAATAATGTATTTCAACTTGGGTTTCTCCCCTTTACCCCACACCCTGACAAATTATCCCTCTGTTCCTTGATTGATAATCTCAGTTGCCTGCAATGACACCTACTGGATGTCAGAACTGATGAAGTGCAGACCCTGTTGCTGCTGAATTTAGCCAGCATCACTGCCAATTTAAGGCTCAATACTACAGTCAGTCAAAACTCCAGTTGACTATAACCTTTTTCTGGTTATTTAGATTTCAGTTACCCCATGAAGCAATTTTCTGTCTCTTTCAAACTCATTTCTCAACTCCCAGGTAACAAATTTTAAACATGATTACAGGCATGCTAGGATTAGTCCAGGCTCTCAGAAGCACTCTCATAATCTGAACTGCTCAGCTGCCAGCTGTTGTTTTACAGCTGTTATTTATAAACTGGAGACAAAATTCTTAGATATTTACCAAGCTACTATGCAAAATACTGAGATACAGTGTAACATGATATTTTCACTGGGACATTTCTGTTTGCTCATTCCTAACTGTGAGAAATTTGCACCTGTAGTTTAGATTTGATTTAGAAAGAATCTGAAACTTTGAAGTTCAACTCACAAAGTCATATTCAATCACAAAGTGAAGTCCACATATTTTATATTCTCCTGAAATGGAGACTGACCGAGGGAATTAATGCTCGTAGTGCTGCCTTTTGCAGTCTAAGGGACATCCTCTGCCCTAAATCTACATGCATGACTCCCATTTATGTCCCTAGCATAGACTCAGAGCAGAATATCAACTCAAAATCTAAGCCCGAACAACCAAGCAGCCTGAGCTTTTCCTGCCATTGATTAAAACAAGTCTGAATAACTTTGGACATTTTGTGAAGTTGATGGGGTCTGATTCTCTGCTCCTTTGCACCGCATGTAGCCACTTACAGAAGAACAAAGTAGGCACAAAATGCTACCAAATCAGCCCGTGGTCTTTTCCACTCACTTTGCAGTTGTATAAATAACTATAGTATGCAAGGATTGGTTTTTGGGGTTGGGGAGGTTCAATGAGATGGTGAGCCACTTTTGCACACCCATTTTGGATCCAGTGCTGAGAACAAGTAGGAAATGAGTGGTTTCCAGAGTATCACAAGCAGAAGAACAGCCCCAGTGGGTGGAGATGCGCAGCAAACTAATCGAAGCCCCTCCTCCTATGTTGGTTCAATTTGGCTTCACCCCGTGAAAACAGACACTAAGAACCAGACCCCTTTCCGTCTCCTTCTGTGTAGCTGCAAGGGCGAATGTAACTCTTGACAGAGCCATGTTGCAGGGGAGACGGGAATCCAGCTTGATACTACAGAGGGCCAGCCCCTCACTGAAGAGACTCCAGGGTCCAGAGCAGAATTTACTTTGTGGCTTCCTATGCTCCCTAGGTTTGGAAGGCCTCTTGCCCAATCTATGACTTTCCTCTCTTACTGAAACTACAGAAAAATCTGAGAGCCTCTGGATTAAGTTTAGAAGTGTGAGCAACAAGGGTGATGTCATGGTGGGAGTCTACTATAGACCACCAGACCAGGGGGATGAGGTGGACGAGGCTTTCTTCCGGCAACTCGCAGAAGTTACTAGATCGCAGGCCCTGGTTCTCATGGGAGACTTCAATCACCCTGATATCTGCTGGGAGAGCAATACAGCGGACCACAGGCAATCCAGGAAGTTTTTGGAAAGTGTAGGGGACAATTTCCTGGTGCAAGTGCTGGAGGAACCAACTAGGGGCAGAGCTCTTCTTGACCTGCTGCTCACAAACCGGGATAGTAGGGGAAGCAAAAGTGGATGGGAACCTGGGAGGCAGTGACCATGAAATGGTCGAGTTCAGGATCCTAACACAAGGAAGAAAGGAGAGCAGCAGAATACAGACCCTGGACTTCAGAAAAGCAGACTTTGACTCCCTCAGGGAACTGATGGGAAGATCCTCTGGGAGAATAACATGAGGGGGAAAGGAGTCCAGGAGAGCTGGCTGTATTTTAAAGAATCCTTATTGAGGTTACAGGGACAAACCATCTCAATGTGTAGAAAGAATAGTAAATATGGCAGGCAACCAGCTTGGCTTAACAGTGAAATCCTTGCTGCTCTTAAATACAAAAAAGAAGCTTACAAGAAGTGGAAGATTGGACAAATGACCAGGGATGAGTATAAAAATATTGCTCGGGCTTGCAGGAATGAAATCAGGAAGGCCAAATCACACCTGGAGTTGCAGCTAGCAAGAGATGTTAAGAGTAACAAGAAGGTATGTTATGTATGTTCT